GGGGAGAGGTGATGTTTTCGAGGGCCTCCAGCTGGTCGAAAAAGCGGTAGGTTTTGCCGTCGGATTTGGAGGCGCGGCCGTCCTTGGTGCGCTTGTGGTATTTGAAAACGTTCTCGAATTTCTCCTTGCACTTCTTCGCGCTCCTTTGGTACCCAAGCTCCGCCATTTTTCTGCTTGTATTTATTTATGTATCCAACAGGAGACAGAATATTACTACTGGATTAATTTATTTTATGCAAATTTTAATTAAATAAAATTATGGGGAGAGTTCTAATGATTGCCAAAGTGTAACAGTGAGATAGATAAAAACGGCAATGGGTGACATAGAAATGGAGGTTAAATCTCTTGTTATGGAATTGGTGGAAATGGATAGAAATTGTTTAATTTGCAGCACTGATTGATATGTTCAAACTGAGAATTGTTGGATACTGGGAAAAAATATAAATAAATAAAAATTAATGGCAGTAAATTTCCTGAAGAAGATAAGATAATCATGGGCGAGTAAAAAGGGAAGCCGAAAAAGTTGAAAACGATCAAGAATATTGATGAATTTCAAGTGGAAGACTGCAGAAGAAGAAAGGAGAATTGATTATTTTCTTCATTCAAACTTTAATTCTACCCTTTTTTGCCATAATTAGCAACAAAGTGCAAAAAAACAAACCACACAACTGAAGCACCAAAACCCGCAACACAAAATTCCACGAAAGCTGCCGAATTCATGGCAAATGAACTGAAAATCACAGCCTCCTTTTAATTAATTACNNNAGTTTATTTAACTAAAAAAAAAAACATTTAAATCTCACATCAAATTGACTCAACAAGACACTCGATCTACAGTAAAAAAAAATAATCATTCTGGTTGAGTTAATTGATTAATTACCTGGAAATTTCTTCCCATAATGGGCCTTTAAGGCTGGAGTCCCTAAAAGTGACATCCATATCTGACCGGATTTTGAGCAGCGCCAGCGTTTCCTGCCTCGGCCACCTGTTACCTCCTCCGCCGCCTCCGCCACCGCTCTCCTCTAAGCCCCCGCCGGGAACCGAGCTGGACGCTGCCCCAGCTTCGCTGCTGCCGCCACTGCCGTCGGCGGCCCCGTCGCCCGAGCTACCACCCATGAGCCCCGAGACACCGAGCATCTGAAATTTCTCTCTTTCTTCAATTTCTCTCTCTCTCTCAATTTACCAGCTGAAAAAAATAAAAATTGTGTATATATCACTCAGTGAAATCTTATCTTTATTTTTTATTTTTTTAATTTTGGGTGGGATCGATCTAGGCTGTCAATCTCACGCTTCTTAAATATATAATTTAGGGAGAAGTGATTTTTTAAATTGTTTTTCGCTTTTCAGCTGAGGAATCTTTAGCTACCATTTTATTTTTTCTTTTTCATTTTCAAATTTTGAGGCTTGGCCTCTCTTTCTCTCTCTTTGGTAAAGAAAACTTGTTTATTACTGTTGTTTATCCTTTTTTTTTCTTTTATAGACCGGCACACATACGGACCGCATCTTTTATTTGGAAATAGTATTTTTATCATTTGTGATTTTCAAGTGCTTTCTCATTATTACATCTCATCAGTACTGCTCCAAAATTAAAATTGTCGCAATTTTGATGATAGATCGTATAAATATATATAATCTATTATATTATATTTTTATGATGAAATTAGTTTTTACGGAGTTTTTTAGTTTCAACTTTCAACTTATAATGATTTATAGGTGTATGTGTAAATGTGGTTCGTAATCTTATATATATTTTCTATTACTAATATGTAAATTCAAGGTGTTTTTATTTGGACTTTGAAAGACATTTTAAGACTTGTTAAAAAATCCAAGACTTATAAAGACTTTTTAATTTAATTGGAATCCTTCGAAATCTCATGCATGTAGGTGGGATATGATGTAGGATTAAGATTTTGTATATGTAATTTTATTTTTGAAATTCCATGATGTCTTAAAAAATCTAACCAAATTTAAAAACGGGTGCGATTGGATGTAGATTTGGGAGTCTTTTTAATCATAGTTAATTTTTAAAAAAAATGTGGTATAGTTAGTTGTTAGTGAAAATTTAAGTTTAAATTAAAATATTATTTAAAATAAAATAATTAAAGTTGATTTGATATAATAGTAGGAGAATGTGATTGAAAGTGATAGTTAGTTAAAGATATCTGAGTGGATGAATAGTGAATTAAAGTTGATATGACGTGATCTGTAAGTATGATTGATTAATATTATTTAATTATATTGATAATATTGAGGGTAATGTAGTTGGTTAAAGTTGAGTGAAATTTGAGTTTTGCTTGGTTTTTTTTTCTTAAGTTTATAACCAATCACACCTTAGAAATGAACTGAATATCTCATGACTTTTTAAAACCTTTGAAAACCATAAATGAATAACTATTAAAATTTTAAGACTTTTTAAAATTACAAACGAATACACTAGAATTCTTAATTTCTTAAAAAAAATCTTTAAAAATCTGAAATGAATACACCCATTATAATATTTTGGAGAACTACGTGATTTGTAAATATATATATCTATATATAAAGATGTTTCGCAATCCATTATGTAATTTCTAGTATCCTATATCTAAATTTTCAATATTTTGAAATTGTTCATGTAAGTCTAGATCGTTACAGCGATTAGTAAAACTTTCAAAATTATAAAAAATTTGGTCAATTTAATTTTGTTTTAAAATTTAATAATATTTTTATTTATTATCGGTTTTTATATATGATATAGTAAATTAATAATCTTGAACCTTCATATTCTGTATATATAAAATATAAAATAATTATATCTTCTTTATTTGCAAGTTTTAGGCGCGTCATTTTAAACAAGAAAACTGATATATTTTTATAGGAAAAAGTGTTAAAATTTATTAAAAATTATTAAAGTACAATTTTTTTAATAAACTACTCTTGTATTGTAACACCATTATACTACTAGTAAATAATTTAATTGAAATTTATGTATAAGTCAATACATGTGTGTGTAATGTGTACATATACGTATACATAAGTGTATGTACAGACGCAAGCTAGGGGTTAAGATAAGGTGGTGTAATAAGATGGGTTTTTGTGTGTTTGCAGCTAAATATAGTTAAAAGCCGGCCTCATTGTGGGTCACCATCTGCTTTAAGGGCGTTTTGGATTTCAGTGGCAGTTTTAACTTGTACTCTTTAGCCTATGTACAAATATACCATAATTACCCCTCACATCACATGTTACTCATTGACCTTTTTTATTAATCATATATATCCGATGCCTGATCTGATCAGATCAAATTAATCAGGGAGTTCGTGTTGTAACATGTAAACATGATTCCACACGTTCTTGGACTAAAATACCCTTTCCCCAAAGAGGGTTCTGTAAGGTGGTTCACAAAATCAATAATCATCAATCATCATATTTACTTCAATTGAAATTTAAGTACAACTATTTAATTTTAACAATTTAAAGCACGGCTTGAATTTTTATAATTGAGGTATGAAACTATGTTTTGGTGACCGGTCAATGGTGTTTTTCACAAAATATGCTCAAATATGACTTGCATTACAAATAAAAAGTAATTTCAACTCATCTATCTATCGCAGCAAATAGTAAATAGAAATCTGAGGACCTCTTAAAAATACTTACGAATCTGAGTTGAAATAGCGGCCTACTTTGCCCGTAGAGGCCCTAAGTTGTAATTTTACACGGCAAGTATAGGGAATACGACGATGAGTTGTAGGATTTGGGGCAACAACTATATTCAGCTTCCGAAGTAGTTTTCCTATTTGACTTTGTCGTCTCGATTGATTAGGTGACTTCAACGAACATTTAAAATTTAGGTTTCATATAACTTACAACGAAAAATTATGGTATGTGGTGGTTTTACAGTTATTTTTTCTCATTTAGAGCGTGCTTGAATATAAATATATTCGCTCAAAATATTTTTTTTTTTATTAAACATGGTTAAATTTAAAAAAAAAAGTTATATGGTTAGTTGTTAGTGAGATTTTAAATTTATATTAAAATAATATTCTAAAAAAAGTAATTAAAGTTAATTTGGTGTAAAAGTAGGAGAGAGATGATGTGAAATGATGATTAGTTAAAATTATATGAGTGGATGAATAGTAAATTTGTCAAAAATTATATTTTTAATTATATTTTTAAAATTAAATATTTCTAAAGCATATACTATTTATAATTCCATATATTTTATTCCTCTTTTTTTTTTCTTAAATAAAACAACTTTTATTGTATTGCAATATATTTATATTCTAGAGTCGGTGTCTCTTGTTTATTAATTTTTTAATGTATTTTAAATTTATAATATACAATAATTTATAATATGAATTTATGTGAACACGTTTATTTTATAATTTTATAAAATATAAAATCATTTTATTATTTTTATTTGATGATCCTTTAAATTTATTATTTTAAACAACATATTATAATTCGATTATTTATATAATATATTTAATATGATAATATACTCATTAAGAGGCCTAATATTAACAATCTCAGTATACAAAAGATGGTCCAAAAAATCAAAAAGATTAGTATTTTATAATGTTAAAATTTATTTTATGTAATACTTAATTTTCATATTTTATCTAAAATCCTTGAAAATATACATTAAAATGATTATTGTATAGTGTATTAATGAATTAGATTTTATTATTTTTATAAAATAATTTATATTATTATTTGATATTTTGAAAATTGATTAGATATAAATAATTTATTTATAAATATAGATGGAGTTATTTTTTATTTTATATATACAATATGAATGTCAAATAGTAGATCGTTATAATATGATTATTTTGATATAGCATATGTAATAAATAAAATACAAATAAAATATATATAAAGTTTTAGAAATAAAAGAATACATATTTATAATAATTAATAATAATGTAATAAAAATCGGTCGAGTCGCCATCCGTCCGCCTCCAATTTGCATGAATCGGCTGAAAAACTGGGTCGCCTAGCACCTAGGCCCAGCGACCAGGTGCTGGTCGACGCCTAGGCGGGCCTAGGCGCTTTAAGCGGACTCGATAAATGTTTTCAGTTTTTTTGTTTTTTATATACTAATTACATTATTTTGTTATCATTTTTTTAAATATATTATTATAATTATTTAAACTTAGTTGTGTGGATTTATTATAAGTTGAGATGATTTTATTTTGTACATAGTGAAAATAAATAAATAAATAAAATATTTAACCTTAATTTCTACGCCTCGCCTAGGCGCTAGGCGCTGGTCGAGCGCCTAGCGACTTCTAGAGCATTGACTAATATATTAATTTAAATTAGAAAAGGTAAGAGTGGTATATGGTAATTTAAGGAAAAAAAAATGTAGCATAGTTTATGGTAAACTCAAGTCAAATAATCAAATCAAACTATTACATGTGTCAATTTGATTTTATGCCAAATAAGCTTACAAAGTATACGAGTTTACCACTTAACCTCAACGCGATAAACATTTGAATAGAACATGATTGAGTTTGACATGTCCTATTATGTTTAAGTATTTAAATTTTCACTCAATGTATTTTTTAAAGCTCATAAATTTCCTCTCTCGATAAAACCTAGCCCCTCTTCAGTCCGTTGTTTTGCCTTCCTCGGCACCGACGAAGCTCGAGCCAGTGGTCGCCCTTGACCGCTTGGCCCGTCCCTGACATCGCGTGTCTCCAATTTCTCAGCAGTGTTTGCGATTGGGGGTCTGCCCTCGATTGCCAACGCGGACGCGATTGAGGTGGTGCGCCCTAGGTCGGCGACTGGTGGTTCTCCCTCAGTTGCCGACGGGTCTTCGATTGGGGTGGTTTCCCCTCGATCTTCATCTGGTATGCGATCGGGGTTGGCTTTGTCGTTTCAAGTAGGGCTCCCGGTGGGGCTTGGGGTCTGATCGCCGACAGTCTGTAGTGGATCGGGATGCGAGTGGTTCAGCAGGCGGGGCGGAACTCTGGCGGCTGCGACATCTTGCGTCGGGGAAGTCGGTGTTGTGGAACCGAGCAGATCTCCCCCCCAGTTCTCTAGTGTTGGGGACGGCGGGGGTCCAGAACTCCCGAGCTTATCTAGTGGTGTTGGATGAGTTTGGGCAGTGATGGTGTGGGGAGCTGGTTCGTTGTTCTCTCGGTCGGAGGTGGGTCGATTTGAGATGAGTTCGGGGCTTAGGTTCTGCTTCTGTATAGACGGTTCCGCAGTTTCAGTAGCGGTTCCTCGGGCATGGCTCTTCTTCGGTCGATTGTTACTCTGTTGAATTGGGCTTGTTTGGTAGGTTGGGGAAGGGCCTAATCTATAGATTTATAGTATTTTAGTTTTCGTTTGTCTTGAGCCTGTGTTTGTGCTGTTTTTGGTCTTGTTTTTTGATTTGGGCCGTTGGCCTCTGTGAACCTGACTGTGTGCGGGTATTATCCCTTGGGGATTGTTCATATTCTCCCGTG